GGCTCCTCCGCCCCCCCCCCCCAGAGGTTCCCCTTTGTCCCTTTCTCCACTCCCCCCCCCCCCCCGCGTGTGTGATGCCAAACTCCGTGTGACGTCGGAGCGTGCTTTGGGCTTGGGCGAAGGGGGAGCCCAGCTGTCAGGCGTTTGGTTCCCCCTTTGCCCTTGCAAAGCAACAGACCCCTCTTTGGCAGGGGCTCCTTGTTCCCCAGTGTACACCCAGCATAGCATAATCAGCGAAGAAAGAGTCTCTGAGCACGCACAGAACGGTTTGTGGAACCCACACGAGAAACTACATCCAAGAGCCCTCTTTCTGAGTACGCTTAGGAGGCAGGCCAGCCTCTCAGCTGCTGTCTGTCCCTCCATCGTTCGGCCCTTCTCTCCCAAGGCCGTCCTGGGGCCAAGATCCCTGCCCAGCATGCCTGGCCCCTGCCGCTTGCCCCCTCGGCCGTGCCAGGGCCTGCCCGAACACCTGGAGAGGGGTTGAGAGAAGCCCTCCTGCCTCTTCCATCTCAAAATCTGGAGGCCCCGATTCCCAGGGCTCCCCCTCCCCCCGCGTGCTGAGACCAGCTGCCTCTTTCATTCCTGGCATTGGAAGGAGGGAAGGAATTCCCAAGATTTCTGCCTCGCTGGGATCATCACTGCAGCACGGAGAGGAGGAAGAGCTTCCCCTGTGGATAGCCAAGGGCCCTGCAGCTGTTCAAAGCAAGGCCAGGCTACTGCTGGCCCTCCAGGCAAAGAGATCGCCAGCCCTGCCCAAAGGGCCCCGGGGCTCTGCTGGGAAGCGGCAGGTGGTCTGGCTGGGGATGGGGCAGGCAGCCAGGGATGGCAGCCAGAAAGGGGCAGTTGTGCGACCTGGGGCAGGTTGTGTGATGTCCAGGTGTGTGACTTGGGGCAACTGGAGTGTTGTGCTCAGTTCTGGGCCCCTCATTACAAGAGGGATGCAGCCAGGTTGGAATCGGTGCAGCGAAGGGTCACAAGGTTGGTGGCTGGTTTGCAGGGAAGCCGTATGAGGAGAGACGGAGGGAGCTGGGTGCTTTCAGCCTGGAGAGGAGGAGACTCAGAGGGGGCCTGTTAGCCACATCCAGGTACGTGAGGGGGTGCCACGCAGAGGTGGGACATGACCTTTTCCCTCTGCAGTGGAGGGCAGGACACGTTCCAGTGGAGCAAACCTCAGGGAACCAAGGTTCAAGGTGGGTGCCAGGAAGTACTTCCTGACGGTCAGGACCCCGAGGGAATGGAATGGGCTTCCACGGAGGTAGTTGAAGCCCCCTTGTTGAGGCTGTTCAAGGATAGGATGGACGTCCACATGGCGGGCATGGCAAGAGTGGAGCTGGCTGCAGCCGCGGCATCACAATCCGCCCCCTCCAGCTCCGGGGCGCAGGACCATTGTGAGTGCTGGCCAGGCCTGGGGGCAGCCAATCAGCGGGTGGCTCCAGGCCCGGGAGGTGGGGGGGAGCAGGACCCCTGGAGGAGGCAGCGAGGGGCACAGGAGGCCAGGTGGGCTGGAGCGAGAACGAGGGAAGCTCTGGAGGGGTTGCCCGACCTCTAGGAAGCACCCGAAGGAGAAGGTACAGTACGAGCATTTCTGGAGTGCCCCCTGCGCTGCAGCAGGGCATCCTCCGGGGGGCAGGGGGGCCTGGGGAATCCCCGAGGGTTGCAAGTCAGCCTTGGTCACCTGGATCATCAGTGGGTCCCGTGTTCTTTGCCCCAGTGAAGAGTCTAATCCTTCAGCTTTTCAAAACAGTCCGGCGCCGGCAGCCGCTCTTCGTCAAGGGCCCGTTTGCACATGGAGATACTGCCGTGCTGCCGAATAGACTGGAGGCGGAGGAGCACGTGCAGGAGCCGCAGGATTTCTCGAGGGGTTGCAAGCTCACCCTGCCTCGATCCATGCATGGAGCGCGTCTCCCGGGGCGGAGGCCAGGACCGCCTGGGCCTGCTCACGGACCCCCACCTGGCGCGGAACGACCGGGCCCTCTTGGGAGTGTGGGTTTGTGGAAGGGGGGGTGGCTGGCGGGCTGCCTGGGCCTTGAGTGCAGCCTGCGACTGCCGGAGCCGGGCTCGGAAACGGGCCTCCAGGGCAGGTGGCGAAAGAGCGGGTGCTCCGCCGAGCATCTCAGCCGCCGCCTGTCTTCTGCAGTGGCGGCGGCAGCTTCCAGCCCGGGTGCAAGGGCAGCCCCATGCGAGTGCTCTGCAGCCGTCCAGCCGTGAGGTTGCCGGGGCAGGGGGCGCCGTGGCCAAGCTGTTCGGCTGGGTGCAGCTGGTGCCCTGGCTGAAGCTGGGCGTGGGCACTCCGAGCCCCAGAGGCCGGCCGGCCAGCAGTGGCGATGGCAGATCTCGGAGTCCCTTGGAGAACGGCCCCGCTCCTGCAGGGGGTGTGGCGCTTCCCTCGGAACAGACCAGCGACCCAGACCTTGGTCCCGCAAGCCTACGCTGCCGTGCCGCGGCTTTTTGGGATTCAGCTTCAGTTGTTCAACGTTCACTCTGCCTGGAACTGCATCCGGGTCCAGACATGGGTGTCTTCTCCTCACGGAGATGCCTCGAGGTGGCGGTGTACCGATGTCTCCTAGGGCCCAGCGTCAGTGTCGTGGCGGTTGCTTCAGGGTTCAAAAACAAAAAATCAGTCCCACCGCACAGGTCAAGACAATGCACGAGGCACTTGGGCAGATGCTGGGTGAAGTGCAGAGTTCACTGGCAGCGGGCCTCCGGTACTGGATCCGGTTGGCAGCGGGGCTCCGGTACTGGATCTCTCGGGGAGAAGGAAGCAGCCTTGGGTCTTCCTTCTTCCCTATGTGTCCTCCCGCCCTCTGGGATCTGGGGTGGAGGCCCTGCTTCGGGAGCCCTCCTTGAAGGAGATTCGGAGGGGGGCTGCCCGGGGAGGGCCTTCTCTGCAGTGGCACCCTGGTGCTCCCCAGAGGTTTGCCTGGCACCAATGGATTCCTTTTGGCTTCAGGCAAAAACCTTTTTATTTGCTCATTGTAACGTTTAATTGATTTTAACTGGGGTTTTAGTATTTCAGTTGTCAGATGCTGTGGTGTTTTGTTTTATTCTATTCACATGTTATTGTAAGTCATCCTGAGACGGGTTAGAAAAGCTTTTGATAAAAGAAAAATAAACCTGAACTGCCCAGGAAGGGTGAGGGCGTGGTTATTCAAGGATGTAATAGAGGAGGCGAATCCAACAGCAGCTCACCCTCAATCCTTGGACATGGGTTCTCGTGTTGTCCGAATGCAGGCGCTGTCTCTCCTGGCCCTCTTCTTGGTGGGTGCAGGAGAAAGATGCCTCCCATTCCTCTTCTTTCTCCGCAAACGGCCACCTGTCCCGGCTGGGCCTCAGTTCTCGCCTCAGTGCCTGCCCCAGACCAGACGGCTGTTGCGAAGGGGCAGAGGCGGCAGCCGAAGGAAGCACAGCTGGCCGGCTGGCTTGCAGGACCGCGTGGTTGGCGCTGCTCCTGCTGCCACAAGTGGCCCAGGCAGGGTTGACCCGGTGCTTTGCTTTCCTCTGGCCCTGGTCCCAGCTCTGGCCCTGCACCAGAGTCGAACAGAGTGGCAGTAATACCTCTGGAAGCCATACTTCTGGCTATGCAACCAAGGGTGGCGTTCGCTCTCTTGGCCACCGCATCACACGGCTGGCTCATGTTCAGCTTGCAGGCGACCAGCACCCCGAGGTCCCTTTCGCAAGTGCTGCTCTCCAGCCACTGGCCCCCTAACCTGTACTTATGACACCCATTCCTATGCCCCAAGTGCAAGACCTTGCGCTTATCCACACTGAACGCCATCCTGTTGTCTCCTGCCCACTTCCAGAGTCTGTCCAGATCCTTCTGGATGCGGAGTACCTGCTCCTCAGTTGTGGCCACTGATTCAGTTTTAGTGTCGTCTGCGAATTTGATCAGCAGACTGTTCACCCCTCCTTCCATGTCATTTATGAAAAGATTAAACAGGATGGGCCCCAGGACAGAGCCCTGGGGACCCCGCTTGTCACTGGCCGCCACCCCGATGATTCCCCACTAGCAGGGTCGTGGGTCCCTCTGCTTGCGGTCCGTCAGCCACGCCTGAATCCACCCCACCTTCTTCCGGCCAGGATCCCACGGTGGAGGACCGGAGCGTCCTCCCCACGGCAGCCTCACCAGAGCTCTGTTTGTGCCTGGCCCACCGTTCCCTCTGGAGTGTCACGGTGCGGGCACAACTCGAACGCGGCTCTCCCAGGTTCCCGTCCAACCCTCCGACCCAACAAGCACCCTCTGCAGCTCTCCTGTGCCGGGCCTGATCCAGGTGCGCCACCTCGCCTCACAAGAAAGCTGCTTCAAGTGGGGGTCTCAGTGGCGCCTGGTGTCCTGCCACCTGCCGGCTCTCGGCAGCGGTGCTCAGTGCGGGGAGGCTGACGAAGGGTGGTGGGGGCGAGCTTGTCCTCGCGGTGTGTCCTTCACCAGGCTTCCTCTCTCCTCCTCTTCCTCCTCCTCCTCCTCCAAGCCATGGCCCCCAAAGCACCTCCAGCTGGCGCGCCAGCTGCCGGAGGAGGCACGCTGGCTTCCGAGGATCTGAAGAAGCGTTTCTCCGCGAAGGTCATCTGGCGAATCCTTGCGGCCTTTGGCGGGTCCTCCTTCATCCTCATGATTGTGATGATAGCCATATGTAAGTCGTTCACGCGCTCCAGCTGCCGCCGGCTTCTCCGCAGGATCAGTCAAAGAAGCCCCCGTGCCCTCGCCCACCCCCTGCTCACCTTGCAGCCCCTGCCAGCCTCCCCCTTGGTGGGCGCAGGGGCAGGCCTGGTGCGTGGGCTGGGGCAGCGCCCCTCCGTGTGCCCGTGTGGGCAGGCGCCTGAAGGCGAGAGCGTGCAGGATTTCTCACCCCGTGGAGCAAGTCCCTCGCCCCCGCATCGTCCCCTGTGTCCTCGGAGCCTGGGCGCGGTCTCCCACGTGGCAGGCGGAAAATGGATCTGGCCGGACGGAAAATGGATCTGGCCAGACGGAAAATGGATCTGGCCAGCTCGTGGGTCCCCAGGTGATGGCGATGGAGATGCAATCCCATCTCCATCCTGCCCCTTTTCTTGTGAGGAGCTCCGGGCGGCTCGTGTGGCTCCGTTTTATCCTGACGACAGCGATCCTGCGAGGTGCCGAGTCTCCAGGGAGCGGGTCCTCAGCTCCACACTTGAACCTGCGCCCCGCATGGACTCACGCGGCTTCGCATATCCAGGGGGGCGATCTGGGGCTGCGTCGGCTTGTCCGAACTCACCTTCATGGTTGTGCGAAGGCTGCACAGCCTGCGCGTAACCCTTGATTAGTGTGGGGGCTCTGCAGGACTTGCTTAGCCCTCTGTGAACCCCCAGTGTCCAGGTTCACACGGCGCAGCGCGAGCCTGCGTGGGGGCTTGCACAAGGGAGTGGTGACCGTGCGGGCCCCACATGTGGGGCGGCTCCTCTTGCATTAAGATCCCGTGATGACGCAATGGCGGCGTGTGAACCAGGCCAGCCGAGGCTCCCCTGCTGAAAAGCAGCGGACTTTGGGATGGCCCGGACTTGAAGCAAGACCCTTAGAAGTGACCCCCTCTGTGTGGGGCTGAGAACCGCCCCCAGGGCCAGTCGCCTTGCCCCCGGCCATCACCTCTGCGAGGCGCGCCGGCATCCCCACGGGGCCTCCTGCATCCTGGAAGGCCGAAATGCCTCCCTGAAAGTTTACATACATTTTAAATGATTTTACGTGGGACTTGTGGATTTTATCGCTACCGTGCCTTGTCTTGGGTTAAATTAATTTTGGCTACGGTGTGGTTTTTCTGTTTTCGTTGTTACTATTTATTGTTGTAGTTTATATGGTTAATTTAAAATTATCGTCTATATTTTTGTTATCCCTCATTTTGTTAATGCTCACAGGGTATATTTTTGTTATCGTATTCTTATATTTGGTTCCCCCCCATGCCCCCCCAGAGAGCCACCTGGGGCTATGGGCAGGATAGTCACGTAATGATTCAATGAATGAATGAATAACTGCAGGAAGGCTTTTGGCTGAAACTGGGCTGGCTCCCCGGGCCCCCTTTTGGCTTTGTCCCCACCTTCTCTGTCTCCGTCTGGTGCCCCCCCCTCCTCCCCAGGAATGGAGCCCCGCTGGCTTCTGAGAACTGGATTCGCCCTTCAGACTGGAGGCACCTGCACTCCCGGGGCGGCGGCTGTGGGAATGGGTGCATCAGAGGGCCACGGGCCACGCCGGGCTTCTCCTGGGTCCGGCTTGCCCCCGCCGGGCCCCTGCCAGGCCGCTCCGTGTGTGGTGCGTGCCCCGTGCTCCTTGCCCCGCGTTCCCCACTGCTTCCGCCCGGGGGCCTCAGCCACCAGCCCACCTGCCTGCCTTCCTTCCTTCAGACGCGAAGATGAGCAGGGAACCCCCGGACCCCCTGGCGGTCCCCATGCAGCACCTTCAGGGCACCATGGCCAACTCCCTGCGGCGCCCGAAGCTCAACTATGTGACCGGTACGCGGCGGCGGGGTGCTGGGGGCGCTGGGCTCGGCCTGGGGGGCGCTTCCTGCCCCCGGGGCCCGGCAGCGCGGCTGGCCGAGCACGGCGGGACGCGAGGCGCCCCTTCCGCCGGGCGCGGCTGAGGGAGGGCTCCGGGCAGGAGGCGGTGTGCTGTGCTCACTGAGGCCAGCGGCTTCTCCAGCTTTTCGTAGCAATTTTCTCAGGTGTAGGAGGAAGGCAGAGAAGGCAAACCAGCCGGAAAGAAGGGGACACGAGCCCTTCCTGTGGAGAAGAGGCCACGATGCCCGCCACCAGCACGGTCATGGGCCCCAGCGGCTGGGCCCGAGCCGTGGCGGCGAACCGGCGTGGCCCAGTGGCGAGGGGGCTGGGCTGGGGCTGGGAAGGCCCAGGTGTACTCCCTGCTCGGGGTTGCGGACTCGTGGCGCAACCTGCCTCGCTGGGCTATTGCGAGGACAAAGTGGAGAGGAGCGTCGCGAAACCTGCCTTGGGTTCATTGCAGGACAAAAAGTGGGATATTAAACAACGCTAGCTCCTTGCCGCAGAAGCTTCAAGCTTCTAGTCCTCACTGCCTTTCTCTTCTCATTATCAGTCCGGGCAGGTGACCATCCTCTTTGGGGCAGCCGCCTTTGAATCTGGGCTCCTCCACGTGCTGGAAGTTGGCTTGAAGAAGAGGCTTGGGAGGGTCGGTGGGGGATCGTCCCAGTGGTGCCGAAGCTTCACGCTGGGCCAGCAATGGCGAGGCGCCAAAAGGCTGTTGGAGAGGGGCATTCTGGAGGGAATGGCCCTAGGATGACCACAGTGACCCCGGGAGGCGGCTTAGGACATGCCGAGCGCTCAGAAGCAGGGACTGAACAGGGTTAGCGCTTGCGCGCAACGCGACGCCCGCGAAATGAAGGGCAGCCCCTGGCACGCACGCACAGCAGAGCCGGCTCTTCGGCGCATTTGCTCAGCCCCCCTTTGAAGCTGCTTAAGCTGGTGTCCTTCGCTGCATGATGGGGGGGGGGGGGATTTCCTGGGCAAGCCCCCTGCAGTGAATGGCAGAAGCACCCCCTTGTCCCCCACCCTTTCCCTGCCAACACACGTGCAGTGGGCATCCCTGGCTCCCTGGCTCCTGGTTTAAAGTCTCCTCCTCCTCCAAGGAAGACGCTGTCTTTCCACGAAGTCCTTCCACAAACGCCCATCTTGTCTTCCTGATGCTGGGGCACAGAGGGCAGGAACCTCCAGCCACCTTCGGCTCCTCCCGTTGCGCCGGGTGTTGGTTTTTTCGGGCAGGCCCGTGGATTCAGGACTCGGAAGACTTTTGCTCCCAGGAGCTGATCTGGACTCGAGTTCCGTGTTGCTTTTGCTCCAGGATGGCTCTTCCGTTTTACTGTCATGTCTCATCCAGAAACAATCTGACTCCTTTTCTGTATCAGCTGTCTCACTTTTATCTATCTGGTAAATATTCAGAGGTGGATAAGTGACTAATCCTCATCTGGGAATGATTTCAGCTGTCGAACTAGCAGAGGAAGTGGGACTGTTGCCAGAAAAATTGGAGGAAACCCAGACTGTCCTCCAACAGCAGAAGGAAGTATACAGTAAGTACAGGAGAGCTGCCAAGACCAGGGAAAAAGGCACATTGGTCATTTATTGTACTCTGTTTAGGGTTTCGTTTGTAAGCCACTTCAGGATTGGTGGAAATGAGAAATAGTCTAGAAATATTGCTAATTAATAATAATAACAACAACAGCTTTAAAGCATAAAATCTCAGTGGTGGTCCTTAGCAGTAACTTCAAGAATAATTCATCCCCCTGAGCACTGCAGGTGTAAAGCTTTTGAGGCAAGGTTTCTATTTTCAGGATTCTGTCCTTCCCCAAGGACTCAGGACAGCCTTCCTTGGATTATCCAGTGTATCCCTACCGCAACCCGTTGTGGGTCACCTCGGCTTGGAGAAGTGCCCCCCACTTCCCGCTCAACCGTATGGGTTAGGACCCAGCGGTCTCTAGCGTACAACTCCCAGGTGGCATTTGACTCTTGTCTTCATATCCATTCATTTTAGAAGCCCTCTTCAAGAGTAAAGCAAAGTCCACTGGGAGCTGGGAGAATTTTGGGAATAATCTGTACTACATTTCGCAAGGAGAGAAGTCCTGGTACGACGCCGAGAACTTCTGTGTGTCCAGAGACGCCCACTTGGCCTCCATCTTAACCAAGGAAGAGCAGGTTCTAGACTTTGCTTCTCTCCCCTTTGATCCCCGGAGTTAAGGACCCAGGGGCCGCGGTGTCGGGTCAGAGCGGTGCCGGGTCCCTGGATCCCAGCAGTCTCTTCCCCCGTGGCCATCCGGGTGCCCCACAGGGTGCTCTTCCGCAGAGTGCGAGGTGGCAGCACCCCGCTCCCGATCTTCCCCCGAAAACGGTCCTGAGAGACACGTCGCCTCTGGCCGGGGGCCGTACGTGGGCTCCTTCCAGGACCTGATCCGGTCCCCCGGCTGTTGGTCACCAGTACACCTGGTGCTGGCGCTGGACTTCCCTTCAACAGCGGTGCTTCGCTAGCCGCCTTCCATGTTTGTGGTGCGCAGCGTTAATGTTTGGGAAATGTCAGGCATTTTTGTCGGGAGCTCCAGCTATTTCACATCTGAGTTCCTTATAAATTCTTGGAAATTATATCGTCCAGGCTCAGGAGCGTGTCTGTTTTCCATCTGTCAATACTCTTGATCTGCCTCTGCTCCTAAGTGTTCTTCCTGAGAATACCAGTTCAGGCTCGGGTTTCTGGCCTCCGTTCCCAGCAGCGACGACACAAACGGGCTCACTGCGATCTCCTCGCCCTTCTTTGGGACACCTTCGTCTCCCTTGTCACCCACCTGCCAGGCCACTGCTCCCAACCTGCTGCTCAAAATCCACTGGATTCCTTCTTCTCTGCTTGTTTTCTTTCTGTTCTCTCCATCTGGGCAACTTTTCCAGTTTCCAAAGGGAGGCGGTGGGGACCAGGGTTTTCGTGACCTGTAACCTATGTTCTAGCACGGGGATCCTCCAGCTACGGCCCGTGGGCCAGATCCGGCCTGCCATGCCCATTTAACCGGCCCGCCCCAGAGATTTTGCACTCACCGTGTGTGTGTCTTGCTCGTGCGGAGAACGTTTTGGATTCACTCGGAGAAAACGATTTCTGCTCAAGCAAGCAGCTGCCTTGCCCCGCACCCCCCCCCCCTTCCCCTGTCCCCCCCCCGGCCCCCCCCCCCCCCCCCCTGCTGGCACCCCCTTGGCAGCCCGCACCCACCACGGGCACCTTTCAACTGGCCTCCTGTTGGAAAAGTCTGAGGACCCCTGTTCTTGCAGGATTGCTGTAATTTTGGTTCTGAGTGATCTCCTAAGTGTTCCGGAGAGATCTTGAAATGCCTGAAATTCTATTTCGGTTTCTTAAACCGACTCTCCGGCCCTCTTTAGTGCTGCCATCCTCATGTTGACTTTTGTTAATTTTTTTCTCCCATGAAAATATGCTTGATCATGTGCAAGTAGCCTTGTTACAGACTATTAATTTTTCTAACTTTTCTTGTGATAAGGTTTTCTGGCATTCTCTGGTATTTTATTGTACAATTTTATGCATGGTTGTAAACCACACAGAAAGCTTCAGCTATGAGGTGGCCTAGAAATGAAATGACATAAAAAAAAACATCCTCCCAAAAATATTTATGCAAATTAAGTGCAAATGATGTCTGATACACTTGCTGAACCCAGGTTTTCTTTGGGGTTGCTTTGGCAGAGAATTATGAGCTCATCACTGTTATGGTTTTTATAAGCACATCTGGTTCACACTCTCCATCATCTGCCATCTCTCCCATCATGCTGAGAGAGCTGAAGTGGTGCTCTATCCCATGAGGCTGTTCTTTCCCCTTTTCTGCAGTCGTTCATCACTTCTCACCTTGATGAACCTGCCTGGATTGGCCTTACAGATGAACATGAGGAAGGCAGCTGGGAATGGACCGATGGCTCCAGATTAATCTCACAGTGAGTCTACCGAGTTCTTGCAAAATCCAGTGCAGAACTTAGAATTTCCACCCTGTGAGAATGACCTTTCAGGCTCCCATCCTTGGAGCCAAAGTTGAGTTGCCCGGTAAAGTTTGGTACAGGGCCGCACAGCTGCAAGGGGCAGATTTGCATGACATGATAAGCTGTGGTTTTCTGAGCAGGGTAGTTTGTTATGTTGTCCAAATCCGTGGTGTTATTCCAGCATGATAAGTCTGATGAGTAGAAACCATGATAAGAAACAACGGTCTGTTCTGTGGTTTCCACAGTTTGCCGTGGTTTCTCTGATTGTCTGGACCCTGCATGGTGGTTTCCATGGCCCTGGTGTGCAGCTGCCACAGAGCCCCCTGCAAAGAGCGGTAGCAGCTGCAGGAGCCACTTCAGCCATTCAGTGTGGTGGCTGGTGGGATGCAGAAGGTGGAAACTAGGCTAGCATAGAAACCACTCAATCATCTGTCAGGCACATCCAGGCAAAAACCAGCACACCAGGGGGAACAGGCAGGGTTCCCTATATGTCCTCCTGCCGCTTGAGATCTGAGGCAGAGGTCCTCCTCTGGGGGCCCTCCTTGAAGATTAGGAGGGTGGCTACCCAGAGAAGGGCCTTCTGTGCGGTGGCACCCCAATGGTGGAACATGCCCCCCTGAGAGGTTCGCCTGGTGCCAAAGCTTTTTTTCTTTTTGGCACAGGCGAAAACCTTTTAATTTCCCCACTATTTTAATTGTGAATTGTCTTAATTTGTGGTTTTATATTTGTTATTGGAAGCTGTGCTACTTTTATCTCTTTATCGTATTTTATTGGTGATTCTAAACTGATTCTTTCTTCACCGAGTGCACAGTTAAGTCATCAGAAGTCTCTCTGTTGACCACCAGTTGGGTGGCTGTATAGGCCCTGTAGTATTCGAAGCACACTACGTACCAGCTGCTGGGGAACGTGGGGAAGAGGGGTCTGTGTGCTCCTGTCCAGCTTGTGGGTTTCCTCTGGGCAGCTTCCATGTGGACAGAATCCTGGCTTGTGCAAAGAATGTTGAAAGAAATGGTTATTCCCCATCTCCGTGCTGTGCCAGGTTTCCCAGCTAGCAATGTTCTTTCGTTGTTTCTTCTAACAGAAATTGTTGGTGGGAACAGCATGAAACATGCCACCCTCTTTCCACCTACAGCCCAAAGTGGTATAGCCCCCTCCTCACCCCCGGACGCAGCACTTTTGACTCGATCCACCTTTCTCTGGATTTCTCCGCCTTTTCCGCACAGTGAGCTCCTTTCGTCCCTCGTCCAGGTACTGGTTTACTGGGAACCCTGGCGGCTTGGAGTCCTACACCAGAGCAAAGAAAGACTGTGCCTCCATCAATCCTTCAGCGGATGACCACAACTGGAACAATGCCGACTGCCACGAGCGGAAAAGATGGGTGTGTAAGGAGAACCTAGACGCCACGTCGAGGGGCGAAAGGCAGTAACGCTGCCAAGCCCACGAGCCAAGGCGCAAACGAGATTTTTAAAGATTGCCATTTCCGTGTCGAGCCTCAAGGGAGAGCTGCTGTCGTGTGTGAGTCTTGCTTGCTGCGCCCCCTGCAAGCTAGTCGGGGGGGGGGCTCATGGGCCGTGACGTCTGTCCTGGGGATGGGCTGCCCCATGGACATCCGGGCTGCCCTTTGGCTCCCTCCGTTCAGCTAACGCTCATTGCGCAAGCCGCGCTCGGTTGGGCTGGAGAGGCAACGGGAGAGGAGCAACTGAGGTTCCTGTCGTGAGCGAGGCGCCCCCCCCCCAAACGAGACAGGCAACTCCGCAATTACTGGAAGAGTCTTTATTCCATACGGAAGCCGGCGTATTCACCAGCCTCGAAACACGCACTGCAGGTGGAACGCCGACCCCTCGCTCTGCCCCCCTTCCCCAAAGCTCTGCTTAGGAACCCTTCGGGGCCGGTCTCTGGAGGGGGGCGCGCTCTGGAAGTCAGCCTTCCAACACTCTTCCCATCGAGCCCCCAGTTGGTCCCGCTGGCGGGTGTGTTGGCGGGTTCTGTGTCCGCGTCTCCGGAGGTGTCACGCTCTCCCATGAACCCCTCCCCAGGCGGTTCTCTGCCGGCTTCGTTCCCCCCATCAGGAGTGGGAGGGGGCTTGGTGGCTGTCCTGGAAGTGCTTTGATCCAGCGCTGGCTCGGGTGGGCTCACCGGGAGGGTCTGGGCAGCCGGGGCCTCACTGGTCTCATCAGCTCCAATATCAAAGTGAGAACTCCGATCCGTGGCCGGTTCCCCTCCTCCGAGTCTGAGCCACCATTCCCACCAAAGCCCCCCATCTCTCGTGCGCACCTGGGAATCTCATCCAAGCACCGCGCATGACCATTACCCAGTCGTAACTGGGATGATGAACTGGCCAGGCGGATGGCGCCTGGTGTAGGCCTTCTCCGGCTCACGTGCTCCTTGGCTCCCGGCTCTCGGCCTTGCTGCTGGGGAGGGAGGGTGGGGCGTGGACTCGCCGTGGCATGGATCCTTTTTGCCGCCTGAGGCGTGGCCAGCTTGTGGCCTGGGCCGGCCGTGGGCCAGCGATCTCTGGCAGGCATTTCCACCACGGGAGAGCAGGGAACCCCCTGGCCCCTCGCCCCAGCTGACCCAACCCAAGGCCTGTCACACTGCAGGGGGGCCTCTGTGTGTGGGGCCCCAGCCGCCCCGCCTTGCCACAGCGCCTGCTCAGTTGCCGCCGAGTCGCGGTGCCGCCTGGGCTGCCTCCCAGCCGGATGTCGCTGCCTGTGTCAGACAGGTGGGCAGGGTGAGGCCTGCGCGCACCTTGAAGGCGGAAGGGTCTGCTTTCCTCCCGCCCCTGGCCTCTTCTGCCCGGCCGCGTCCCTCTGGGCAGGTCTTCGGCCCACCTCCAAGCGTCTCCCTTGCGAGTTCACTTTGAGACCCAAAGCTTGTGGCCGCGCTTGCAAAGAGTCGCCGAGGTGCCGATTTTGCGCCGCAGCAAGAAACGTTCACGACGAGAGGAATGGTGCGGGGCCCTTCATAGTGGAGCTGAGCGTGCCTGTGAACCGGAAGACACTGTCTCTGCGGCCCTCTTAGCACTCCGGAATTGCCCTACCGAAGACCCCCCGCTGTTGTGGAATAAGAGCAGGTGCTCCTCTTACGGATCAGTAACGGGGTACAGAACAGAAAGCAGAAGGTGGGGATAAGTTTAAGGCACCTCGGATTCCTCGCTGGAGGAAAGAGGATGCACCTGCCATGGGTCACCAGCCCCATACCGACGGTGGCGCACTCCAAATCTCTGGACGACCCTGCTGAAGCGTGGCAGGCTGTGATCAGTAAGGCCGCCAGGCGCCATCCAGCCCCAAACTCGGGCCGCAGCCTCATGGCCGTTGCACCAAGCAAAGTCTCCGGAGCAAAGTCCGGCCCGGTTTTGCTGGCTGCGTGTGGCGGCCCAGCCGGAGGGGGACGTCCGGTGCCTCAGCAGGGGTGCGCGAGGGCTTCCCTGGACCCTTCCTTTCTTGGCGGGCAAGAATAGCAGGGAGGGGGCTGCCAGCTGGGCCAGGGGGCCGATCGTGGCCTCTCTGTGAGAGAGGAAGGCCGTTCTGAAGCCCCTCTCTGGACCTGGAGATCCAAATGGCTTTAGTCCGGGGGCACATGGCTCCCCTGTTGATGCTCCTGGACCCGTTAGTGGCTTTCGGCACCATCGAGCACGCTGTCCTTCTGGATCGGCCGGCCCGGTCGGGGGCTGGAGGCAGCCTTGGCGGTGGTTCTGCTCCTGCCTGGAGCCTGTTTCCAGAAGGTGGTGCTGGGGAGCTTTGCTCCATGCTGTGGCAGCTGTGCTATGGAGTTCCACGGGGCTCCGTTCTATCCCCTGTAGTTTTCAGCATCTCCAAGCAGCCGCCGGGAGAGGTCAGCTGCAGGTGTGGGCTGTGATGTTACCCATACGCCGATGACGCTCGGCTGTGCCTCCCCTTTGCCAGGGCTGAGCAGGGCTGTCAGGGGTGGGACGAGCCGGAGGGCTTTCATTCCTCGGTCACCATAAGTCAGAGACAACTTGACAGCCCATAACGACAGTGACAGAATGAACGTCAGCACGGGCGTCGTAAGTCGGCAAGACTCATGAAGAGCACACTCCCGGCGGGGAAAGGAGGGGGAGAGCCAGATCCACAGTGGGCAGGCTCCCCCAAAGACGCCTCGGCCGGGGGTCTAAAGCAGAGCAGGGCTGCCAAGGGCCAGGCCTCCAGGAGGGGGTGCATTCCTCAGGTGCCCACCAGTTGGAGATCCCTGGGTGGCATGGAACGAAAGCACACCTGAATTGCCACGGGCAGAGGTGTGGCGAGGGGGGGCGGGTGCCACGAGCTGGCATCGGCACTGCTTCCAGCCCCAGCTCAGCCACAGCCCTCTCCATGGGCCCCCGCAGGAGGCAGGGGACCGAGGCAGGGTCCTCGATGGTTTCCCTGCCTGCCCGTGGAGAAGCCTCTTCCCTGCCCTCCAGAGAGGGGCTGCGCAGCGCTGCAGCTGCCTCAGCCCGCTCCCCCTCCCCACGGCATCACAATCCGCTCCCCTTCAGCTCCGGGTGTGCAGGGACCATTGTGAGTGCTGGCCAGGCCTGCGGGCAGCCAATCAGCAGGCGGCTGCAGGCCCCTGGCAGAGGAGGGGAGCAGGGCCCCCGGAGGAAGCCGCGAGGGGCATGGGAGGCCCGGGTGGGCCGTCGCGCAGGACTCGAGCGAGGCAGACCCGGAGCGAGAGCGAGGGGCGCCTGGCCCCCAGGAAGAACCCGGAGGAGAAGGTGCGCCCCCGGCCCCGGCCCTTGCCCCCGGGGCCGCCAGGCTCTCCGCTGCTGGCCTGGGTGTCCCCGCGTGCTGGAAGGCAGCCTCCCGTGGGTGGGGGGCCGGGGGTTCCCACGGGGCCCTGCCCCACACAAGCGGTTGGTGCTTCAGCTTGGGGATGGGAGGAGATGGAGTTGGCAGCAGCTCTGTCTCTGGCTGGAGGGGGTTCCCCGGCCAGGCTTGCCCCCTTCCGTGCAGCCTCCGTTCCCTCCGCATCCGAGCGGGCACGGGGGGCTTCCGGAGGAAGAGGGGCTGCTCGGAGCGTGGCGGGCAGGAGGGCGCGATGGCTGTCGCGTAGCAGCCGCCCGCCGCGTGAGCGTCCTGCCCCTCTCGGGTGTCGGGTCGGTGCCCGAAGCGCCGGAAGGGAGGGGGAGGCAGGCCTGCTGGCTGCCGACTGGGCCTGGCCCCGCCTGCTTCACGGCCACCTCTTTCTCCCCTTCCTCCAGCCATGGCCCCCAAGGGGAAGCCTGCCCCTGCCCCCGGCGGCGCCCCTGGAGATGATGCACCTCCAGTTGCCCTGAAATCTAACAGGTTCAAATGGATGGTTATCCGAGTTCTCACCTTGCTGATGTCTTTCGCCTTCATCGTATTGCTCATTTTATGTAAGTCTCTGCAGTGACCGCACCCCCGCCTGCTCCCCCCCCCCCGCCGCGCCTGCCCAGAGCGTGGGGACCTCTCTATGTCCGGGGCTGTGCGGAGGCCAGGGCTCATGGCGGTGTGGGTCTCGGGGAACCCGGGGGCGCCTGCGCTCGTGGGGCTTTCGGCAATGCTGTGACCGCAGGGCCACTTCCGCAAGCCAACGGGGCGCCCCCCGCCCATGCCCTGCTCAAGTCCCTGAGGAGCTGCTGGGGGTGTCTGTACACACAGGGCTCGATGGAGCAGCTCCCGCTGTCCGTCTCGCAGCCCCGCAAGAACCCTTGCCTTGTGCTGAGGTCGTTTGAGGACGCTCGCTCTTCTCCACCCAGCATGTCCGTCTCTCACGGCACGGCAAAGCACGGCACGGCAGGCCGCGCGGTCCCGGTGGCCATGGCCCTCAGTTCCACCGTGGTCGGGTGGGCTGCTGCCGCATCCGGACTGGGCCATTGCGGGATCCATGGTGCCGGTCCAGGTTACCCACGCCCAGGCTCACTGGGCCGGTGTGCATGATCGCTGCATCCCTACGGCAGCGACTTATTTACCTGCAAAATCTTGTAGTGTTACCTGAGGGCTGTAAGCAAGTCATTGATCTGGGCCCCGATGGCCCGACACCCCCCGGGAGCCCCCTCTGAGGGAGGAATATTCCAGAATGAGGGGGTGTGGTGAGGGCACAAACCCTCCCCTCTGTAAGGAAGCTTCATGTGCGTATGGGGTGGGCAAAAGTTTGGGCGGGGAAGAGGGCAAGACTCGGCTCTGTGGGAATCCTTTCCTAACACTGATCCTATGTCAATTATTTTAGATCTTCAGCTTCTCATGGAAGGCCGCGACCCTCTTGAGGAACACATGGTAAAGCTGAAGGACATTCTTGCAACAGGATACGGAGATAAGTTCATTATGTTTGACACCCGTAAGTGGAAGAGGAATAATTTGAATGACACGTTAGTACAAGCTTATTTGCTTTAATAGCCCATAGCCCGTACACCTTAATTTAGGCACTTAAAACACATCTTGACAAACATCTGCCACATTTGTGATACAGTTTTTACAAAGGCTGCTCAGAAGTAGTTTTAATCTTGCAGCATCAGGAAAGGCTGACTATTTTGATGGCCATTCTTTGAAACTCTCTCTCTCGCCTGTTGGTATTTCAGGCAATAAAAGAAAAGATGAAAAGCTGAATCCCACAAGGGGCAGTTACAGCAGTGTTTGTCTGGTGCCGTCTTACGAAATTGTCCCCTGATCTGGGCAGTTGGAAGTGTGGGCAGTTACAATGTGCTACTTTATAGGATCATCCCGACTTGGGAACTGCCAATATTTTAAAACAGAGAGGTAGATCAAACAGGGTGGAGTATTTAATTTCCGGAAGTAAAGGGGAGCATTCATGCCTAGCTTGAAGAGAGTCCCAATCTTCCTTCAGTAATTTCTGTACGAGCAACTTCCGCCTTTTTTGGTTTAGATTTTCCATTTTCTGTAAGCCCGGTGTGCTCGCTTTTGCTCCCGCTGCATCGTTCCACCCCAACCAGCAACGCTCTTGTGCTGCCAGTGTAGCGGAAGCTGGAAATCCTTCTGCATTTACTAAACAACATTTAAAATTAATTATGCTCTTCCAAAGCAAGGTTGAAATTTTGGGGGGCCCTAGTTCAAGCCATATCATTGCAGAGGTGATACAGAATTACTAAATTTGAAGATGTCTAGAAAGAGGCCCGTCTCAACCCCACCGCCCCTTTAAAATCAGAAAAGAGAGAGGAAAACTACGGAAGAGCTCTTTGAAGGCCTGAGGGAGAAGACCGGCAGCTTATACGTATGGGGTTTGCTGTGTTGTGTGAACCTAGAATGAGCTGCTCTGGGTGATTTCTATGCCTGTGCCTTGTGCCAGGGCTTGGGGCTTCCGTGTCATCTGGACCCAGCTGACACGACCCCTTGGGTAGCCCGTGCAGCTAAGAACTGCTGGGCAAGGTTGTCAGAGAGCCTGGAGAGTGGGGGAGTCGTGATGCTCCTACGGGGTTCTTGGGATCCCCGTGGAAGAGTGAGGAGGAAGGAGGGCGGAATGCACCCGATCGTCTCTTGGGGGCATCGGGGTGGGCTGGCTTCCAAGCCACACCACATCGCTTACCACACTGGCTTATTGAGTGGGATGACGTGACTCGGTGTCCTGCACCAGCAGGGGTTGGACTTGCTGGCCTTCACGACCCCTTCCAACTCTGCTATTCTATGATTCTACGAATCTGGTTTCTCTGTTGACTTTTTGCTGCAGTTCTTATCTTGGATACTTGGTAGTTTTAGTTTAATGGGTTTTCTCATTTATATGGTTATTTCTTCCATTGATGGCAAGTTGACTTGGATGAGAGAGGAAGGCAATGTCTAAATATTCACAGAAATATCTATAAGCATCTACTGTACAGATTTCTATACATTCACATAAATGTAGAAGAATGCAGGAGTAAGGAATCTTTCTAATTCTGGGAATGCTTTTAGATGTAAGGGCTGCGGAAGAGTTAGTAAAAGTGCCGGTAGCCATGGAAGAGGCCGAGAATGAGTTCTATGAAAAGAAATCACAGTATCGTGAGTATCCACGTTTCTATATATGAATGGAAGGTGTGAACAGATATATGTGAATTTAAAATGGCTCATACTTCATGCTCGTGGTGCAGAATGGAAAAAACGTCATTTCTTCAAGCTCAGGATTAATGAGCATCTTGTTTAAATAGTGAGCACATATAAGGAACGGTATTAAAAACAGTTCCAACTGCATTTAGCTCAAGTGATCTACCTTTGGGAAAAAGTAGCAAAAAGTCTACTTTACATGCCCAAATGTTTTATTTATCTTTATCTTTATTTTATTTATATTGTGATTTATATCCTGCCTTTTTCCTACCAAGGGCTCAAGGCAGCTTGCATCATTCTCCTCCTCCAGCTTATCCCCACAACAACAACCCTGTGAGGTAGGCTGGGCTGAGAGTCTGTGACCGGCCCAGAGTCACCCAGTGGGCTCCATGGCTGAGTGGGGACTCGAACCCAGATCCTCTGAGTCCCAGCCCCACGCTCTTAACCACTACACCACACTGGTTGTGACTCACAGGCCAACCCTGCTGGCCATCCTGTGCCGCAAGCCTGCGCAGCTGGAAGAGCACAGAAAGGAAATATTCCATCAAGCAAAGCTCTTGCCCATGGCATTTTCCAAGCCGAAAATATGATCGGAAATGTGTGGCCCGCTCCCCACTCCCCGGCTGTGACATCCACGCCGCAGAGAGAAGAGCTGATGTTCCTGTTGAGGTTAACCGGGCACGCGTTCGACTTTGAATAAGTGTAGAAATGCAGGATGTCCACGTGATGGCGCTATAGAAAGAAGGAGCAAATGGCTGGTTTCTAAGGCTTTTCCACGGGGACAACCATAGCACATATCCAGAACTTCAGACAAAGGCCAGAGCCTCCTGAGAGATTAAACAGGCCATCGCGGCAGCCTGGATGCTCGGGACACTCCACTGCTCACTCAGCTGGAGGAGGGTTGGGCTTGATGACGCCCAGTGCTTCCTGCAGTTCCCACACTGGTGGTGTTACGTTCCCTCGCGTTGTCTCCGACCTATGGCAGCCCTAGGAAGGGAGGCCCTGTGAAAGGTCCTATCTGTGACACCCCCGCTTCCCTGTACCGAATTCAAGGCCGTGGCTTCCTTGATGGCTCCATCCATCTAGTATTTGGTCCTCTTCTTCTGCCTTCCACTTTCCCCAGCGAGATGGTCTTCCCAGGGAGCCTGGCCTTCTCACGACGTGCCCGAAGCACGGCAGCCTCAGTTTGGTCATTTTCAAGGTACCTTCATCTCCCGCCTGCCCATCGTTTGTCAACGTACAGTGCAAGGAAAGACAATTGGCCCAAGACGATCTTCACCACTAATGCCCTACAGCACTGACGGTGAGCCTTTCAGGGACCGAGTGCCCAAACTGCAACCCGAAACCCACATTGATCGCAGAGTGCCAACACTGCAAGAAAACCTGAAAACTGAAGATTTAGTTTAGGAAAAGCACCTCACAGCCAGCCCGAGCAAATATATGTATATCCTTGGCAGCGCACTGATGGGCCATGCGAAAGCTCAGGCGAGTTGCAGCTAATGAGTCGCGGCTCGTGACGTCATCGCCTGGCACCACTGCTCCTTTCCGAGCATGCGCACGGCCCCCGTGTGCGCCGTTATCCGATGCTCGGCTGCTGGGGTGATGCTGAGGCGACTTGGCTCATGTGCCGACAGAGAGGACTCAGTGTGCCTGCTGTGGCATGCATGCCATAGGTTCGCCACCACTGCCCTAACCCTACCCTGGTGCACTCCCCTAACCCTAATATAGGGGTAAAATACCATTGAAAGGGTTGCTTTTCAAAAAGCCTTCCTTGAGTAGCTGTTTCTGCACAGCTCATAATTTCTGCCCATTCTAGACACATTCCCACCATCAAAATCATACCAGGACACCTCATTTTTCTAACCCTAAGCCAGTGATGGTGAATCTTTTAGAGACCGAGTGCCCAAACTGCAACCCAAAACCCACTTATTTATTGCCAATTGCCAACACTGCAATAAAACTTGAAAACAGCCAGCCCAAGCAAATCCATCCATCCATCCTTGGCAGCGCACTGACCGGCCATGCGAAAGCTCGGACGAGTCGCGGCTAATGTGTTGTGGCTTGTGACGTCATCGCCTGGTGCCACTACTCCTTTCCGAGCAAGCGCATGGCCCCTATGTGCGTCGTTATCTGATGCTCGGCTGCTGGGACGATGCTGGGGTGATTCGGCTCATGTGCCGACAGGTTCGCCAGGTTTGCCACGGCTGCCCTACAAGAACCTCAGCTTTGTCCACATGAGTAGTGTAGATCTTACCACCGTCAACCCCAGAGCCATTCCTCCAGTGGGATCATGCACCACTCATTTCCCTAAATTGTTTCTATGCCAAAGAAGTTGGGGCACCTGTGGTAAGATTCCTGCAGAACTTCCTTCGGCTTTTCCACTGAGGTTCCAGACCACTTTTTGACAAGAGCTGTACACTGTTGATACACTGGCAAATATTTCCCTGTTAAGAGATGCCAGATTTCCGGGAAAAGCACTTTCCTTTCCCACCTCATCGTTGCAAGCAGCTGTTTGCCATGGAATCATTTCCCATACTTCTGCATCGCATTCCTTTCACAGCTGCTTCTCTCATTCCACACTTCAGACTGCCTGGAAATTCCTCACCATCAGAATTTCCTCCCCAGGGAGAATCAAGTTTAGTACATAACTGATCAAATGGATACCTGCTTTCCATCCGACACATGCTACCTTGGCTGAGAGAGGATGGCAAGTCTAAATTTTCACAGAAGCAGACAAACCAATAAATATATATGGCTGGACTAAGCTGTTTCTGCTGCCTACCTAAGATCATCCTATTCCAGGTAGACTTTCTTGCTGACCAGCTGCAATCTTGTTTTTAATAGTTTCAATTGTTTAGTGCATTGTTTTTATTCTTTACTTGTTTTAACCCTGTATTGTTCACCACTTTGGAATATACCTAGATATGGAGCAGCAGGCAAATTCTGTAACTGAATGAATGACAACGTTTTCATCAGCAGCAATAATCAGAGCATCTATTGAGAGGTGCTGCAAACATCTTCTTGCTCCTCCAGCTGCACAGATCCAAAAAGCCTCTCATGAAAAGCCCCTTCCCTTCCAGCATCTCCGCCTTTACAAAAGCAACATGACTCGGGAGCAGAAATTTCAAGTCATTTGCAAGCTACATTTCCTGTACGCAAATCGTAGTGAGAACCCTGGGAGTACAGTTAAAAATACACTTCTAATCTTGGCTGGCTGTGTTTTTGGAAGACTGGGCCATAGTTCCTAGCACAGGGTTTATAAAGAGAAGCTCATCTCCTCTCCCTCTCTGTTTGCAGGGATTTATTTCAAAATCCTCCCCTTCCAAATAAGATGCAATCTTATTTATTACTTTGATAAGTAATTACTTATTAGAGGAAAAAGGGTACCCAAGATATGCTTACATTTTTTTCTCCTTAGAATCCCTCTTCAAGAAAAGTATCAGATCCACGGACGCCTGGCAGATTTTTGGGAGAAGCCTCTACTATATTTCAAGGGATAAGAGGACCTGGCACGACGCGGAGGATTTCTGCCTGTCCAGGGGCGCCCACTTGGCTTCCATCCTTTCTGACAAAGAGCAGGTTTCGCGTTTTTCTTCTTTCCCTCTTGCTGTTTCACCTTCTCCACCAAGCAAGCCACCCTCTCCAGCTGCTGCATGGCCAGGTCCTTTTCTCTCTATTGCTTTACTCTCCGTGTAAACATTTTAGGATCTCTCGGCAGGCCTTCTGTGCCTGCTTCTAATCCCTGCAACACAAGTACAGATGTCCCCTGAGTCCGATCTCAGTATTTTGAGGCCCCTCTTTGGCACGCCAGAACATGTTTGATTCAAGGCAAGATTCAGAAATGCGGGACTCCTGCCCCCCATTTAGGAGAATAGGTGCAATGCTACTTTTTTCTTCTTGCTTATTGAGCATGGATGAAGTTTGCTGGGGGACGAGCCCCTAAGGCGAGTACCACGCCTGCCAGGTTCAAGAAAACAGACCTTGGGGTTATGCATTTGGGAATCCTCAGGTGCTCCACCGGCGAAGAATCAGGTTTAGCATGAGAAAGAAGACAGGACTGTGCTTGGCAGGGTGGCCGAGGCGCTTATGAGGGGAGGACTGGGGAGCCCCCGGGGCAGTTTACGGCAAAGGGGCGGGGGTCCTGGGACTTGCCACCTTGGGGCTGGGTCAGGGCACCGTTTGGGCCTGGAGGCAAGGAGAGCTGCTGGTCAAGAGGAGGTGGAGCGTTCAGGTTCCCACAGGGCACTGAGCCCACGCTAACTCAGCCCACGCGGGGTTCCTTCGGCAAAGGATCAAGTCCTCATTACGTTTTCATGTTTAAGCACGGCGGATGGTGCTCCTTCCGCCGTGCCGCCGCCTCCCTGTTGGGGTGGGCCCTCCACGCTTCGGGCGGGGAAGCCGGCAGCCGCCATGTGAGGCCATGTCTCCCCTTCTGCAGCTCTTCGTCTCCTCGCAGCTCGATCAGCCTGCCTGGATTGGCCTCACGGACGCGAATGAGGAAGGCAGCTGGGAATGGACCGATGGCTCCAGACTGGTTTCAGAGTGAGTCCTCCGAGCAGCTCCAGGCAGGGGTGTCTCTGAATGCCAGCATCCGCCCACTTTCTCGCAGAATCAGGCGAGGAACTTGCAGTCGCCTCCTTCTGTGGGCCACCTCTCAGGTTCCTGAAGCAGAAGTCAAATTGCCAAGCAGAGCTGGCATAGCTTACCTGTCCAGGTATCTTCCAGAGTTTCCCCCACTGGTTGCAGATGGTTGTGGGACTTGAAAGGTTGCCTCGGAGTCTCGCCTTCTGGGAAAGCAGGAAGGAAGGACATTCTTCCACAAGGAGGCATTTTGGAGGCCACGATGGACAGTGGCGTGGCAGACAGGCGGGTGGACCTGATCCGGCAGGTGCAGCCACTTGGGAGCATCTCCTGCACAAACACCGTTGAAAGGAACAGGTCCATTTTTCTCTCTGCCATGTTAATGTCCAAACCTGCAGGGATGCGGCTAAAGCATACACTGGTATGTTTGCTGGGAGAGCTGCGAAAGCATCGCCTTCTTGCCACCCTGGTCCTAAGGGAAGCAGCCGTTCTCCCTCCGTTCTGGCCCAGGAGGCCTGGTCAGCAAGACCCCCTGCTTTAATCTGTGGATACCCAGGAGGAGACGCGCCACCCGTGCCACAGACGATGCGTACGCCTGTAGTTTGTTCATGCAAGGATGGACGGGGGTGCCTGCTTGTCAATGAAGAACGCAGAGCGAGCTTGCCCTGCCCTTCCCGGGCTGATGGGCTCCCTCAAGGGCTGGGGGTGATCTGCTGGCCTCCAGAGCGGCCATGCCAGTTCTTCCCCCGGGGCTCAGAGCATGGATGCTGCCCCTTGCCACGGGATTCGGTGGGTCCCCTCTCCCACAAGTGCAGAGCCCATCAGGATGCGCCTGACCCCTTCCTGGGAGCAAAGCTGCACCTGGAAGGTCAGCCGGCCTGTGCTCGCTGCAAGGACAGGGCCTGCTCCATGGAAGGGCCGAGCCAGGCAGCTCCGTGGCCCTTGTTTGTTTGTGGAAAGTTTTTCCATGCCGTCCCGTTACTAAAAGTCTCTGGGTGGCTTACAAAGAACAAAAAACCATAACCACAACACACAACACACTGCCTCAGATAAACAATAATAAAAAACAAGGATAAAAGCAATTAATTGTTAAAATGATGGGAAAATAAAAAGATCTTTGCCTGTCACTGAAAAGAAGAGCGATGGCACTAGGCGAACCTCCCTGGGGAGCATATTCCTGAGTCAGGGTGCCACCACTGAGAAGGCCCTGCCTCCGTGGCCCTTCCACCATGGCGGAGGGAGGCCCGGCCCGGAGGCTCAGGCATGCTTTGAGGAACTGTTTGGGTTCTGGCCGCTGGGCAAGCGCCCCACACGCCCCGCTGAGCCCAGCGACCGCCTCGTCCGGCACAGCCTGAACGCCGCATCCCCCTGAAGGCAGCGCCTCTTGCTCCCGCTCCTTGCTGCTGCTGATGTAGAGGCTCCCCTGCCTTTGGGGGGAACTAAGCCTTCCCTCCCTTGCCATCCCCCAGGTACTGGTCTCCCGGGAGCCCCGACCACCCCAAAGACCACGGAGAAATCGAGCACGACTGCACCGCCATGCTGGATTCATCCGATGAGTACAACTGGAATGATGCCAGCTGCAACGATTATAATGGGTGGGTTTGCAAACAGATGCTCGATGTCGCGCAGTAACGAAGCCGGCCCGGGCGCTCGCGTGGCACGTCGACATGGGAAGAAGCAACGTGCCTGTGCGCCACTGCCAGACCTCAGGGGGGGGGGGGGGGGGCGGTGCAGGCAAGCCTGCGGGCAGAATTCTTTATGAACCCAGAGAGCCAGACAGATGCGAAGAGATGTGCTATGAACAATAAATGCTGGGTGGTTGAGTGAAGTGCTCCACTCTGTTGATTTGTCAGTTACTGAATTTTGCCTCTTCCTCTTCCTCATCTTCCTTCCTATTTTGCCCCCAGGCCAAAGCTCTCTGGGTAGTTCATAACAATTCACTACGATAAGGACCACAAACAAGTCCATATACGAGAGATCTTCAAAAAGTTTCCACACTTTTTTATATTATAAATATACTTTATATATTTTTTGCTGATGGCATTAAAAAGTTGGTCCAGTGCTGGGAAAATGCATCGCAAAAGAAGGTGACTGTGTGGAAAAGTGATGTCATTTGTTGTTGAAACTGTTAATACACAGAGTTTTAAAAAGTGCGGGAACTCTTTGAAGAACCCTCGTACAACGCACCGAATTTAGAACAGCTTGTGCTGCCTGTCCATGGGCCCCCCGACATTGTCTGACAGTCTTCAGAGCCCAGCTTTGGGCCACGGTTGCAAATATCCACCCACATCCCAGCCTCTTGCAGTTGGCTTGGAAGGAACCATGCGGGGAGGAAAGAGTGACTGTGGCCCAAAGCTGGGCTCTGAAGACTGTCAGACAATGTCGGGGGGC